AGAGCTCTTACTTCCTGCAACAGAGATTGAACCATCCTTCTTTTCTGCCCACACCAGCCAGCCCAGAAGAGAGGGAACACACTTGCCATGCAACTCCAGGCAGATCCTGTCCTCCCTGAGCGTGTTTGTGAAGGAGAAAGCTGAACTCTGAAGATTTTCCTGGACTCCACATTCCTGAATCTAAGTCAAGCCTTGTTAGGTAGAACTCACAGAGTTCCTTGCCTTCTTAGAGATTTGGGACAACAGTCTAAATGGTCTCTTTGGTGCTTTTTTCTTTTTGAGACAAGGCCTTTGCTATATAGCCCAAGCTGCCCTTGAACTTGTGGGGATCCCCTTGTCTTAGCCTCCCCAGTGCTGGGGTCAAAGCCATTTGCCACCACACCTGGGCTGTGGAGGGAAAGCAGGTTTGCAGTTTTGGATGGGCAGGGCCAGGGGGGCCACTCTAAAGGAAAGGTTGAGTTCCAATTGGCTAGTCTCTTTGAGGGTGGATGACAGTGGGGAGTAAGGGGCAGAAGCCACAAATGGAGCATGTTGTAGCTTGGGGGACAGTTAGCTAATGAGACGGAAAATAAAAGAACCGCTGGGTATTTAATCCTTGAGAGATCTACTCTATCTATCTATCTATCTATCTATCTATCTATCTATCTATCTATCTAGATATGGTATACGGGATTAAACTATGGATCTTATGCTTGCCAGGCAGGCGCTTATGGTGCTGAGCCATATCCCCGGCCCTCCTGAGAGATTTACTCTACTCCTGCTATAGAGTAAGGCACTAAAGTCTAACAACAGAACAAGGCTGGACTGAAGTCACTCAGCAGGCCAGAGACAAAGCTTGAAGGTGGACAGTGTGAATGAAGGTGGACACTGGTGCATCATGGGTCCTCTAAGGGACAGGGCAAGGGGAAGGGCCTAGAGTGAAGTAAGAAAAGAGGAGGAGATCTTCTCTTTTTGCCTGCTAGGACTGAGATGAAAAAGAGCTCAGAATTGAGGTCTTGAGGGCAGGAAGAAAAATCTGGTGGGGCTGGAGGGGAGACATTTAGAGGTGGGAGGGCATGGGTCAAGGCGGGAGTGGAGGTGGACAGGGTCCAGCTGACCTGCTTCTGGTTGTAGTTGACAGCCAGCCTCAGCCTCGCCAGGTTGGGGATTCCCTCCTCAAAGGCCTGGCCCAGGCTCTCAGCCTCGGGCTCTGTCTCGCTGTCCTCGCCCAGGTCGTTGAGCACAGCGGTGACTTCGCTCTGGTTCCGGCACATGCCCAGCAGCTCAAAGCCATAGTCCTGGCACAGCGACTCCAGAGCAATGTACTCAGGCTGCGGGAAGGAGGCCTTGTCTCAGCCACCCTGTGCATCCAGCGCCTTTAACTCACCCTGCTCTCTCGGAGCTCTCTGGCTATCACCTTCTGCACTGATTCTCTTTTCTGCTACCTCATCTATCCTTCTCGCTAGAAGGAGGTCACTCTTGTGTCACCTTTTGCTTATCTGGTGGTATCTCCTCCTCACTGTTAAGTCACTTCAATTCCTTGTTACCCTTGCCTGTTCCTTGTACTGTTCTTTCCTTTTATAATTATTTTCTGGCCCCCTTTAACTACCTTTCCTATAAGGTATGATCCTTATAAGGATATATAAGGATTATATATAATCCTTACCTATAAGGTATAATCCTTATACCTTTCACTTATTTATTTTGAATTTACATTCTAGGAGAACCACGCTGGCAGTTTTAGGACACACAGAAATGAATATGGTAGGTTACTCATACTACCCTTGGTCTTTCTTGGGGCCCTTTCCCCAGAGAGGCTTTCAGGTCAGGCTCTTTCCTGCAACTGTCCCTCAGGTATTGTCACACTGGGTTAGGTACTCAGTTTCCCTGCATTCTACATGCTGCTAGCGTATCCTTTGTACTCACCACCATCTCCACTTTAGCTGCCTCATAACCTTTGCTGGGCTAATGCCTTACTTCAAAACTGTCCCTGTCACTTGTACCAAACCATCTGCCTCTGCACCCAAGCTTAACAGCAGCTCCTCCAGGGAGCCTTTCCTCAGCACAGCAGCTGCAGCTTTTCTGCATTCCCAAGTTTGGAAGTGCTCTGAGCACCGTCTCTAAAGGCACTGGGCTAAGTCCTGGGAGCATCTCGTGATGGAAGCTTGACTGTCCCGGCCAGTGCTCCAGGAGAGACCCATGGCAGGTACCCTGAAGAGACTGAATCGCATGTCTGTCGTCTCAGCTGCTTGATACCACTATGATCTTTCTTCTCCCTCAGATAGATCCAGGGCAGCCCTAGCAGGTGGCTGTGCCTATCCCTTAAGTGTAGATGCTCCTAAAGTGACGGATTTTTGCTGTCAGAATGAAATCTTTCTCAGGGTGGGACTGTGACTTTGTAAAAAGATTTCCTGCAAACAGAGTCGGCCTCATCCTCTTCCTGTTGCCTCTCATTTCCCAGAACACCCACCACAGGCCTAGCCCTGCTCCTGTGGAAGAACTGATACAGGGGCCCTAGGGGAATGGTGAAAAACTAACCTTAAACTCAGGCTCCTTGCGGGCTAGGCGCCTAAGCTCGCGGCTCAGCTGAAAGGCGGCCAGCATGGCATCCTCGCTGGCCAGAGAGAGGTGGGCCCTGCTGGCGATGCCGCGGTAGGTGTTGATGCGGGACAGGGAGAACTTCAGCAGGTCGTAGCGTCGGGCGTTGCTGCACTCGAGGCAGGCACAGGAGATGGGGTGGGGCCGGGCAATGGTGTGGCCCTGGTCCATGAGCAGCTGTGCAATCTCGTACAGGTCCTTCTGGCAGGCCAGGGTGAGTGGAGTGACACCAGGAGCAAAGCGGGAGCCATCAATTGATGAGTCAAAGAAAGCCAGAGAGAAAGACTTGGTGTCTACCTTGCGGCCCTTCTCTCGGTCCAGCCGGGCCAGCAGGCGACGCACCACTGCTGGCTGGTTTGTGTCCACTGCCACAAGCAAGGCTTCGTGGATTTGTCGGAAGTCAAACTTGACGTTGGCCAATAGCACGTCAGCAATGGCTTCATGGCCCAGGCGGATGGCCAAGTTGAGTGCTTCTCTCCAGGAGCGGTCCTCAGCCTCTTCCACATTCCGTAGGGGCCCACCTGGTCCGCTGCTAGCAGCCTCCGCCCCTGCCTCCAGCAGCTGCTGCACAAGACCCAGACGTCCCTCCTGGATGGCACCCAGGAGCAGAGGTGGGAACTTGAGCTTTTTGTTCACAATCTCGGTCCAGTTAGGCTGTGGCTGGATGCAGGAGGACAGGACCCTGAGTTTTATCCATTTGTTTAACCCTCTTATGCTGTGAGCCCTCTATGCTCAGCCACCATTAGACTTCCTTGTCCACAACACACATTGGCAAAAAACATCTTTTCATCATTTTAAAAAAAAAATTATTATTATTTATTCATTTATTTTGTGTGTGTGGCCAGCTCAGCCCACCAGGGGGCGGGGCTGGCTGACATGTAGTGCTGGGGGACTGAATCACGGTCCTTGTGCTTGCTTAGCTTAGCTTGTTCTAAGTAGGTGCTGTAGACCACTGAGCCATCTCACCAGCCCCTTTTCACCATTTTATTGTACAGATTCTTATGTCAGGAAGTGCCAAGCTGCTCTTTCACAGTGAGAGGGCTCTTCCTCAGCTCAACTTCCACATGCACAGGCACCCACCCCCACTGTAGGGCCTCATGTGGGCATTCAAGCAAGGGCTGTGCAAGCAGCCACATGGGGCCGGCTAGGCCCCAGCTCCCACCTTGTTGACTTCATCCTCTTGCTCTTCTCTCTGAAGGCCCCAGTGCTCTCTAGGGCAGGTCCAGACAAGTCCACACAAGCGGGTGTCTGGACTGGGCTTTCCCCATTCCCCACTCTCAACAGGGTCACCAGTTGGTGCCAGTTCCCCCCTCCCCACAAGCCATCACTGGTCTGACCGTACCTACTCTGCAGGGCTTTTCTTCCCTTAGTACCACTGTCCCTTTCTTCTAGAGGCCCACTCTCATCTTCGCTGCTCTTTTGTTCTGACCCACGCTTAGGCCTCCAGGGGCTCTTCCACCGACATGGTGATACATACTACCTACAAGCAGCCAGGGTCTCCCCACCCCCACTCTGGGCCAACTGATTATTTTGTTCATAGCTAGAAAGGTATTAGGATAGGTAGAGGTAGGGGAAGGTAAAGTAGGGGAGCAGAGGGCCTCTTACCATGAGGGGGTCCATGGTGGAATTCACCTGTGCAGGCAGGGGCTGAAGGCCTGAACGCCTGCTCTGGCTGCCTCCCTGACTGAAATGAGAATTCTGTTTCCTACCCACTCAAAACCCCGCCCTGGGCCCCCCCTTTGCTGGGACCAGCTGCTCCCCCTCTCCCTGGTACCCTGGGGACCAGGGGAACTGTGTTAGTGTCACACAATGAAATCTTCTGGGAAAGGGGAGAGTACATTGTTGCTCAAAGAAGGTAGAAGAATTTGGAATGTCATAGCTTGAGGGAACCTTGGATGCTTTGGTCTGAATACACTGTACAAATGAGGAATGGGATTTGTCCAGTGTCCTACAGTCACACGTAGAGCCATTCCTTGTCAACCTATCTGGTCCCTATAAAAGCTCTGAGGACGTAGATGAAGGATATTTTTATTTTCTCTCTCTCTTTTATTTAAGACAGGGTCTCATTCAATAATTCAGGTGGGCCTTGAACTCACTGTATAGTTCATACTGTTCTTTTTTTTGTTTTTTTTTCTTTTTTCTGGAACCGGGGATTGAACTCAGGCCCTTGCACTTGCCAGGGAAGCGCTTATTCTACTCAGCCATCTCCCTGGCCCTCACACTGGTCTTGTAATTGTAGCAATCATCCTGGTTCAGGCTCCCAAATGCTGGGACTATAGGTGTACACCGCCACACCCAGACTAGGATAGGTTCTCTTAACTTACTTTGGTTGTTTGAGACAAAGTTTGCTATGTAGTCCAGGCTGGCCTTGAACTTGCTATGTAGTCCAGGCTGGCCTCAAACTCACAATCTTTCTGCTTCAGCCTCCTGAAAACTGGAGCGATAAGCACACATAAAACATTCTGCTTTTCTTTTTGAGACACAGATTCTCTCTGTTGCTCCGGCTGGCCTTAAATTCCTAGGTTTGAGTGATCTGTCTCAGCATCCCAGGTAGCTGGGTCTCTGGATGCATGCTACTATGCCCGCTTCTCTCAGATACTGAGTTTAACTCTGGGACCACGATAAATTACTTGCTAAAGTCACACAGCAGAGTCATTACCTAATTATAACTAGAATAGGATTGTAATTTATTATTTTTTTTCGGTACTGGGGATTGAACTCAGGACCTTGATGCTTGCCATGCAAGCACTTATTCTACTACCAAATGTACATAACTAGAATAGAAGAAAGAATATGGGAAGTTAAGGTCATGGGATTCTGGGTGACAGTCTCATGGTCAACACTCACTCTGGTCTTCCCAGATCACCACAGGATCTTATCTTTCTGGCAACAGTTTTTGGTTGGGCCTCAGTTTTCCTTTTAGGAAGATGGGCACGAGGATGTGTAATACTCATTGAGGGAACGACATTCTGGCTAGCGTCCCCAGGCCCAAGAGAGATCACCAATTCTATCTAGAAGTTCCAAAGGTTAAAAAAGACAGAGCTGTCCTTATGAGAATTGGGTGCTATGGAGACAGAGCCTTGACAACTAGAAAAGGTGAGCAAGCTGGGCCCAGAGCTCCTTTCAGGCAGAGTCCCAAGGGCACTGTAGAGGGAGGCAGAGCCAGAGGCTGGGCACTACTGGCCCTTCTTGGCCACTGAGCTCCTCTCCAGTCTTTGTCAAGAGTTTTGGGGCTAAAACCTCAGGTCTGCCTGGCTCAGTCCTGAAGAGCTTCCCCGCATGAGCTAGCATGTTCTTCTACTTCGCTTGCTGCAAAGTGCAATTGGCAGATGGGGCACTGGACCCAGGAAACAGGCGGCGAGCTCTTGGGGGAGGACACCCACAGTACAGATGAGGACGAAGACAGTGAGGAGGAGGGAGGAGCCGCGGGAGGTCGGGAGGTCTCTCCACAAGTGGCAGCGTGCAGAGGGAGAATTTCAGTGCTGAAGGAGCCTGGGTGGGGAGAAGGAAGTAAATAAAATTGGGTCTTTGGACAGATGCCACCCCAAGAAGTCTGAAGGATGCATCCGCTGCCAAATGCAGCTATTCTCCAGGAAATTTACCATGGCTGCTTATTTTACACCCAAGGGACACTTTTATGTGTCTGTCAAATATTTATCCAGTATCTGCTGTCCCTGACAGATGCTGGGAGCTGAGGGATGCGGAGTGTCCTTACGGACCATGGAGTCTACTGGTAAACAGCTAGGAACACAAAAAACAGAGACGCAAAGCAGAAGGTGCTAAGTGGGAGAGATTATCTGGGAGGACCAGAGAAAAACCAAACAAAAGCCCCCCAAAGCCCCTTACAAGAGTCAGGAAATTATCTCCCTGACAGTGTTTCATATTGTCTAGCTTCATGTTCTCCTGAGGGCAGGGCCACATCTCTTCCTCAGCTTCCTCAATGCAATGTGAGCAGGAGCTCCAGACAGACTCTCCTGGATTCTATTTGACTAACAGTACAGGTACAGATGTGGGAACGGCACAGATACAGATGTCAGGGCTGGGAGTCCACACCCAAATGTTTCTGGACAGCAGCCTCCAGATCTCTTAGTCCTCCCTCAAGCAGAGTCTAGTAACCATGCAACACCTGCTAGCTCACCTGCACAGATGGGGCACCGTCCCCTATCATGGACACCACTGTTTTGGGACTGGGGGCGGTGTGCTCCTTGCCTTGTTCTTGGTGTTCTCCTTTTTGATTGAAAGTTTGAGTTGGCCATAGATCTGTGAAAAGCAATAGTTAACAACCAGCAGGCCAGGTGTACTGGCACACACCTATAATTCCAGCACTTGGGAGAATGAGGCAGGAGGATCGCAGTGAGTTCAAGGCCAGTCTAGGATGCATAGTACGTTCAAGGCCAACTTGAACTACATAGCACAACCTGGTCTCAAAAAACAACTGCCCCCCAAAACAACAACCAGCCATTTCTGGGTGTGCTGGCACATGCTTGTAATCCCAGCATTCTAGGAGGCCGAGGCTGGAGGATCCTAAATTTGAGCCCAGTCTGGACAACTTAGTGACACCCTGTCTCAAACAAAATAATACACGTACACACACATGAGCGTGAGCATGTCTGTGTGTGCGCGCGCTAAAGAGTTGAGAATATATCCTAGTATGAAGGTTTAATCTCTGGTACTGCTAAAAAACTCCCAAGAATAAAAAACAAAGCTAGACTGGGGCTGGCCAAATAGCTCAGCGGACTAAAGTGCCTGCTTAAGCAGAGTGCAGCAGCCGGGGTTCGATCCCTGGTGTGCTGTGCCAGCCCCGCCCCTGGGACACGCTGAGACTGTGATTGAGACTGGATGTGGTGGCCTGTACCCGTAATCCCAGCACTTGGGAGGCTGAAAACAGGTGAATCACTAAGAGTCTGATCTGTGTGGTGAGCCCCTGTAGACCCTGTACTAAGAGGCCACATGGGCTGAAGGAGCCTAGGAAAAGGGCAAAGAGGATGTAACATGTTAAAATGGAAATAGTAACCGTGGGTAGGAATCCTGGCTTTCCCACTTGATATACCAGACTTGAAGGAAGTCATTTAACCTTTGAATATCTCAGAACAGAGCTGCTATTACTATTTTCAGATTTTGGGGGGTTAGTACTGGGGATTGAGTACAGGGCCTTATGTGCAATCAATCATTGAGGTACATCTCAGCCCCTTTCTAAACTTTTTAATTAATTTATTTATTTGGTACAGGGTCTCACTACACAGCTTGGACTTGTAAAGATCCTCCTGTCTCAGCCTCCCCAGCAATGGGATTACAGGTGTGTGCCAACATGCCCAGTTCTGGGGCTGGCACAACATGTGGTATTGGGGATTGAACATGGGTCCTTGTGCGTGCCAGGCAGGCACTTAAACTGCCAAGCTATCTCCTTTGCTCCCTCAACTTTATTTTGAGATAGGGTCTTGCTAAGTAGCTTAGGCTGGCCTCAAATTTGTGATCCTCCTGCTGCAGCCTACTGAGTAGCTGGAATAACAGGCTTGCTTACCTGCTTTCAGATTGTTATTTATTTATTTATTTATTTATTTATTTATTTATTTTTGCGGAACCAGGGATTGAACTCAGGATTGAACTCAGGCCCTTGTGCTTGTCAGGGAAGTGCTTATTCCACTGGGCAATCGCCCCAGCCCCAATTAATTATTTTTTTTAAATTGAGTTATTGTGCAAATACTATAAAATTCATCCTCTAAAGAGTGAATTTGGGATATTTGTCATGTTGAGTGACTATAATCAATTCTAGAATATTTTTATCACTCTCAAAAGAAACTCCAAAATTTTTAGTAGTCACTCTGCACTCCTCTATATAGTCCTGGGCAATTGCTAATCTGCCTTCTGTCTCTATGTATTTGTCATCTAATTTTGATGTTCTGTATAAATGGAATCATGCAATATGTGAGGGGCTGAGAATGCATCTTGGTGGTAGAGAATGTGCATAGAATCCCAAGTGCTGGGATTACAGGCGTGTGCCACCATACCCAGTCTCAATCACAGTCTTAGTGGGTCCTGGTGGCGGGGTCGGCACAGCACACTGGGGACTGACCCAGTCTGCGAAGCAGGCACTTTAATCCGCTGAACTATCTGGAGAATTGCAATTTCTCTACATGTTTACAAATACTTGTCATTGTCCATCCTTTTAAAACTATTTAATTATAGCCTTAAATTATAGTTATAAATCATAAACTATTTAAACTAGTGGGGTATGATGATTTTTTTTCCTGTTCTAGAAGTTGAACTCAGTGCCCTTTCCCTGAGCTACATTCCCAGGTATTTTTTCACTTATTTAGAGATAAGGTCTCACTAAGCATTAAGTAGCTCAGGCTGGGTCTGAACTTGTGATCCTTCCACCTTAGCCTTCCAGACTGCTGAGATTGCAGTCATGTACCCCCATGCCCGCCTAAGATTTGCATTTCAATGAAACCCATGAAGGAATCATCTTCAGATTCTGGTTCAGGCAGGTTGTGGTACAATGTGGACTAGGGCATTTTCTTCTCTACTGAGTTTTACTAAGAGAATACTCTGGTTTCTCTTCAGATCTTTTGCCTTTTACTAAGAGATTGTGGCCCAGATCCAAAGTAGTCCTGCCCTACCTGAAACAAGAGGAGGGGAGGAAGGTCAGCTGCGGAGGGGTCATGAGGCTTGGGGAGGAGACATGGGCCTTTCATGTTGACCTACTCACCTTTGGTCCTGTACTTTCCGTCTCTTCTTCCTGCCCCCATTGTTCTCTGAGCTTTGCTCCTCTGCTCTGGGCTCTGCGTTGGAAATGCTCATTAAATATGGTTCATTAACAAAGGCCTTTGCCTAGACATCACTTCTCTTAATATTTTTCTATCTTCTCTGCCTGCTTAATTCTTTCTGACTTTCCTTGATTCTCAAATTTAAACCTGGCCATCCTTTTATGCTTTTTCTTCAGATACTTATAGTAGGTGCAGTTTTAAGTTAGGTCACATGAACATGTGTCTCTTCATTAGGATGGGAACATTGCTACTTGTATACTGTGGCACCTCTGGCACCACACCAAGCCTGGCACATTAAGAGATGTTCAAGAAATATCTGTCAAATGCAGGATAACAAAACCAACCACTGTTTTGCCAGTTATTTAGAATTTATGGGGCTGGGGATATAGCTCAGCAGCACAGTGCCTGCTTGGCAAGTGCAAGGTCCTGAGTTGTATTCCTGGTACAAAAAAAAAAAAAAAAAAAATAAAAAAAAATTATGAAATGCCTGATAGAACAATTACTATATTTCAGAGTGCTTTCATACGTCCAATGCCCAGCCTATAGTAGATATCCTGCCCCCAAATGGGCCTTACCTGTACTCTCTGGCTCCCTGGGACCCGGGTCTGTGTGGTTGTTCTTTGGGCTTGCCAAACTGGCTGAAGGTGCCCTGCGGGCAGCAGAAAGCACCATGCGGGCTGAACGCCCCAGGGCCCCTGGCTGAAGCTGCTTTAGGAAGTCCTTGAGCTCTGACATCTCCTTATTGTTCCTGCGGAAAAGCACAGCGCTCTGCATGCCAAACTGTAACCCAAAACCCACTTATTTTAGCAAAGCATCAACACTGCAATTAAATCAGAATACTGAGGTTTTATTCTTTATTTCTCTGTTGCTGTTTGTTTTTTTGGTGGTACCAGGGATTGAACTCAGGAGCTTGAACTTGACAGGCAAGCACTTATTCCACTAAGTTATCTCCCCCGCCCCCTTTATTGATTTTGAGACAAGGTCTTGTTATATAGTTCAGGCTGGCCTTGAACTCAGCATGTAGCCCAGGCAGGCCCCAAATTAGTGGCAAGCCACCTGCCTCAGCCTCCCCAGTGCTGGGATTACAGGTGTGTGCCATCATGTTTTGCTAATATTGAGGTTTTAATTTAGGAAAAAAGCTCTATATCAGTATCTTTTATCTTAAAACAAACAAACAAACAAACAAACAAACAAACAAACAGTAATACAAGTGTCATAGGTTCTCCATCATCAGCCCTGAGTATGTGATTAATTGGAGAACCCCGGTGAGGGTTGTGTGCCAGTGAGCAATGTGGCAGCTTTTCTCTTCCAGGAGAAAGATGGAAGGTCTCTACTCTTTGCAGCTACGTACGCTGGGGGATCTGGGAAGAATGTCCTCCGGATGGAAGGAATGGTCAGCCAGGGGCTAGGATCAGACTCCTGAGCACCAGAAGAGCCCTGAGAAAAAAATAGAGAAATATGGACTAGGATTCACCAGCAGGGGACACTGCTACCTAAGAGTTCAGCTTAGTTAACCTGTGAATGTGGTGTGACGTGGGTGTGGCATATCTGTTAGTATATCAGACTCTTGAGTTCTAAGAGCTGAGATTCTGTGATTCTGCATACTTAGTTTTGCAATGCTAAGGGTTTGGGCATGACCCTGCAAGTCTCCAGGAAGAACACAATGTACACTATTTGAAAGAAACAGGGCAATGAAGACTGATGTTATGCGCAAACTTTGAAAAATCACTCTGTGTGTTATTTTTTATTTATTTGTGGTACTGGGGATCGAACTCAGGACTTTGCACTTACCAAGCAGGCGCTTATACCACTGAGCTATCTCCCCAGCTCTCTGTGTGTTACGTGTTTTAAATTTGCACGTGTATAAAACTGCTGCACTGAGGTACAAAAGTCACTGTATTTATCTTTGTTTATACATTTTGTGAGAAACAAATAATAGATATTTTTATACATCTACAAATAGCTCTACTTTGAATGATCTGTGGCATTTTATTATTTTACTCTAAATATTATTTAATAATAGTGTTCAATTTCTAGGGTATTTGTGAACAAGTGTATATGTGTGCAACTAAAAACCTATCAATTTTAGCCATCGCTTCTACAAAGAGATGTGTAGGCGTGTATGAATGTATGCAAACACGGACCCCACATGATCATCTTTACATAGGTTTTATGTGGTATACTACGATTTCTTAATTTTTTGTCAAAACTTAGTTTGTAACTCTTTCCTCTTCATTTTTCCAAGTTTACTTCAGGATGTTTTTCTTTAGTGTTTAGCCCTGACTCTCTTCCATTACAGATTTTTTTACTTCCTTGGTACCAGAGCTTGAACCTTCACAATGAGCCACATCCCCAGCCCTTTTTTTACTTCTTGAGAGAGGGTCTCACTGAGACACTAAGTTGCCCAGGTCTAGCTTGAAGTTCTGATCTTCCTGTCTCAGTCTCCCAGAGTGCTGGGAATAGAGGTGCTTGCCACCACACCTGGATATTATAGACTCCTTTAAAGGTAAATATCTGTTTTGCGAAGTATGACTCTGGCCTCATTCTGAAAACTTAACAAGCATTATTTTCATTTTTACTCACTGTTAAATGTTTTCTAATTGTCATTATAATAACTTATTGAACCTAGCATTACTCTACCACTGAGCCATAGCCCCAGTATAGAAGCATGAATCTTAGAGTGAGCGCTATTATAAAGTGTAACGAGATGGAGGTGTAGAGATACTTAACCTTAATGCTAGATATTAATCATCACAAACTGAGCTTCTAGCTGGGTGTAGTGGTGCATGTCTATAATCCCAGCATTCTGGAGGCTGAGGCAGGAGGACTGCTGAAAGTCTGAGGCCAGCTTGGGCTACAAAGTTAAGTTTCAGACCAGTATGAACTGTGTACCAATTCTACTTCAAGGTTTATTTAGCCATGTGATCTGGGACACCTTATTAAATTCTTCTGTGCTTATTTCTTTACTAGAAAATCATTAATCATAATATAGTAACCCTGTTTCATGGGGTTAAAAGCCATTATGTTTTCTTGTCACTGTAATATACCAATAAGAATGATACATCAGGAAAAAAAAGCATATAACATTTCAGCCAATCTTAACTTACAAATCAAGTGTTATTATCAGTGGTTTCTGTGTACCTCTTGTCTCCTGCTGGAATGTTTCAAGACTCTGGTGCTGTGGGTTCATGTGGCAGTGCTTTTATTTATTTCTCTGGTGCTTTTATTTCATGGCTAAATAAATCCCTGAGTGCAGGGGTTTTCCGGGGGGAAGGGCTGGCTCAGTGTGCCCTACGGGTGGGGTTGGTGAGGCACGTGGTGCTGGGGATCCAACCATGGTCCCTGCACACTTGCCTAAGCAAGCACTTTAGATTGCTAAGCTATCTTGCCAGTTCCAAGTGCAGGTTTTATGGCTGTTGCTAACCGTGTTTTGCTGACAAGGCTTGAGTTGCTGACTCTCTTCCTCCTTAACTCATCATGTCCCAGAAGATAGTCAGTTAGGTGGCCAAAATGGGAAAGGCTGGGAGGCCCTTATTTGCCTTGTAACTTGTGTCCCCATTTGGATGGGAAAACTTTACATGACTCTATCTATAACTCACCCTTAAGTCATTTTTTTTCTTTTCCATAACTTTATTGAGAGACAAATAGCAATGAGACAGTTTCAAATCAAATTGGTAGGACAGTTTCAATAATTAACACATTGCATACTCTCTTCCTAGTGGTTATGTGCTGTACAAGATGAAGTCATTTCTGTAATGAACATTTGTACTAAAAGCTGGTTTTGCTGCAGGCAGTATTCTAGGTGCCTAGAATGCATTACAGAGCAAAGTAGGTCACTAATCTCATAGCTTCCTTTTTGTCAAGAAGTCAGGATCATAAAGAGCCAGCTCCATTCATGTTAGCTTCTTCCACTGTGACATCAGAATCTAGTAGAGCACACCTGCCTGTCCTCACAGGTCCCTGTATGGTTTTTAGCCTTCTTAACAACGGAAGAACAAATCATAGCCAAAGTTTACTTTGTCTCAGTGTTCTGGGTCTCTCCTAAGGCTGTACTACAAAAGCATTTACCCACATTCTCCCTGACCTAGTTCTATTCTCTCTCCAATGCCATTTCTTCTTTTCCCCAGTAATTTCAATAGGAGTGACTGTCACGAAGTTTACTTCTGTAAATTATGATACTTTTGGTTGTCAAAAGTTTGACATTTATTGTATGTGTAGGAAGTAGCATGGTATAATGAAAGGAGACCTAATTTCTAGTCCCTATGTGGCTCTGACTCACTGTGTAACTTTTTATTCATTTATTTTTTAATTTTAATTAAAATTAAATGTGGCTCAGCCTGCTCTGGGGGCAGGGCTGGTGTGGCATATGGTGCTGGGGATCAAATCGCGGTCACTACATTTGCCTAAGCTTGCCTAAGCAAACGCTTTAGTCTGCTGAGCTATCTTGCCAGTCCCGTAACTTTGTTTCTTTTATTTTTTTAATGTATTTAGTACAGGGTCTAGGGGGTCTCACAAGTAGGTAGGACTAATAGTGATTCTCCTGTTTTCAGCCTCCCAAGTGCTGGGATTACAGGTGTGCCACCACCACACTCAGTCTCAATCGCCATCTCAGCATGCCCCAGGCACAGGGCCAGCACAGCAAGCCTGGATTCAAATCCTGGCTGCTGCACTCTGCCTAAGCAGATTCTTTAGCCCGCTGAGCTATTTGGCTGGCCCTCCTGTAACTTTGAATACACAAAAATTTCCCCACCTGGGAAGTGGTTAGCATCTTTAAGCATTTTTTTTTTTTAACTTCTATGATTCTATAACTCCAGCTTTTTTTTTTTTTTTTTTTTTTGGCAGAACCGGGGATTGAACTTAGGCCCTTAGTCTACTGAGCTATCTCTCCAGCCCCTATAATTCCAGCTTTGTGTGGCTGATTTCACATTCATATTTGTGTGTGAGAGAATTATGGTGGACAGAAGTAACTTGGAAAGATAAATGGAGATATCAGTCAGAAGAAAGTAGCAGAAAAAGAGTAAGAATAAAATATGCAGAAAACTGGTTGAGAAAGTATAAGGGAACAGATATAACCACCAGGTCAGAAACCCACCAACTGGGGCTGGGGAGATAGCTCAGAAGCAGAAGCACCTGCCTGCTAAGTGCAAGGTGCTGAGTTTGATCCTTGGTACTAAAAAACAAGAAACGCACCAATCAAGGCTGGGTGTGATGGTGCATGTCTATAATCCCAGCACTTGGAGGCTGAGACAGGAAGATTGACATGAGTCATTGTTATGAGTTTGGGACCAGCTTGGACTGTAGTATGAGCCTAAGAATTCAAAAATAAAGTAGGAGCATGAGGTGAAAGCACAAATGGTTCCACAGCTTTGTGTAACTATCTTCCAGGACCACTCACTTGCATCTTCCCTGAGATAGGAAAGAAGACCTCATTTCTACCTGTAAGAAAGAGCATCAAGCTTGCTAGTGCTTGTACGAGTGTGTGCATGTCTGTGTACCCCTCAGCAAGTATTAACTTTCTAACCAGAAACCTGAAAAGTGAAGGCAAACACTAAACCCTTATCCCCCATAGTACATACCTGGCTCTGCCCAGAGCTTACAGGTGCTGAAGGACCCATCACAGGGTCACCCAAGGCATCCAGAGAAGAACGCACCCGAAGGAAGGCGAGGCCAAAGGGCTGATGCTGTGTGAAGGGCTGGGAGCAGGACAGGCGCAGTCGATCCCATGACTCTCCAGAGGCTGGAGCCAGGAAATCATCTTGAAGGAAAGAGGAAATGGAAGTGAGGGCTGGGGAAATAGCTTGGTGGTCTAAGGACCAGAGTTTGATCCCCAGTACTGCCACCCCGGAACCCCAGGCGTGATGGTGCAAGCAGTAATCCCAAGGCTGGGGAGGCTAAGACAGAAGGATCACTACGAGTTTGAATGTGTAGCAAGACCCTGTATAAAAGAAAAGAAAAGAAAAGAAAAGAAAAGAAATGGAAAGGAAAAGGGAATGATTAATAGAGGGAGAAAAAAGGAAGGTGAAGACTGAGGAAAGTAAAGTAATGGTAGAGGTGAAGTAGAACAAACTCCAACAGGAGGAAGAATAAGGTCATTAGTTAACATTCCTCTTAGGCTGAGGGATTGCTCATGCCAAGCAGGCCAATCAGGGCCTTCACAGACAGTTCTTTTGTCTAGTGACCATCACTCTTCCATCATAGTTCTACACTGTTCCAAGCTTGAGGACATCCTACCTCTCCAAGGACCTGATGAATATCTCATTTTAACAGGAGGTACCTGCATTGCTGAGGTATGGGGAGACCACTTGCCCAGTGGATTAGTTGAGATATTGCCCCTTCCTGGACCACAAGACCTCAACCTACCTCATACTACCACATGCCCTATAGCAGTGGTGGCAGGAACCTACAGCACTGTGTTATTTTAAGAGAAAAGATGTTAAGGTAGATTTTTTTTCTTTTCTTTCTTTCTTTTTTTTTTTTTTTTTTTTTTTGTGGAACCGGGGCTTAAACTCAGGCTCTTGCATTTGCCAGGGAAGTGCTTATTCCACTAAGCCATCTCCCTGGCCCCCAAGATAGTTTTTTTTTTTTTTCTAAACTACAACCACAGTATGCATGCTTAATTGGAGTAATAAGTGGGTTTTGGGTTATAGTTTGGCACTGGGTCTCTAAAAGTTTTGCCATCACTGTTTTACATACTTGGTCACTTGCAGTGGCAAACACCAGTATCACAATCTCTTCACATCATCAGCTCCTCACATTCTCATCAGCACCTCATCCTCTCTACCTCACATGCCCCTCCAATATCATTCTTCCCTCACATTACAAACTCCTCCCACTGAAACAGAGACATCTTTATTAGACTGTAAGTCCCCAAAGGCCAGGAACCAGCTCTTAAGTTTCTTTTGCAGTGCTCAGTAAATAGAGATTAGTACAAACAATTCATGAAACATTACATCCTATTAAGGACAACCATCATATACCCTTCATCACTTATATAAGCATTTCTCCTTCATCTATGCACACATTGATATGAAGAAAAACACAGTCAGTAAGTACAGTCAGTAAGTACATGCTCTGTACCATGTTCCATCATGTCACAAATCAAGAGTAAATATAAATCATAGCTTATAACTATCTCAAGCTATCACATATTCTTATCATGCAGAACTCACAGATCACTAGCTATCCTATGTCCCCAACAGGTACAACTAAGCCTTTGTATTATAGGCAACTAAAATAGGTACAAATATAGGCAGTCAGACAGGGCTAGGCTTTTGAGGGAGTCAGTACAAAGGATGAGAACATGTCATAACTGTGACTGGGGGCACATCTGTTAAAGGGCAGGCCTTAAGATAAAGATGGAATGATCAGGCCTGTACGCCTCCCCACAGGACAAGCAGTAACTTGAGATTATACTTTAATTGGTATCACCTGGTCCAGTAAAATTCAGTTAGATATCAGTCACCCAGGTGGGTGACCAGAGCATCTGGACCTATCCTTTCCCCAAAATGTCTCTGTTCTTTCCAAGTACCCTTGCTATGTGACCTGCATCTCTATTAGATCAGTATCAGCTAAGCAGCTAGCCTTATAATCATATTGGTTGATTACAGTTTGACACAAGTTGTACTCACCTCCTGATTCTGTACCCACCTTGTGATTCTGCACTGTAAAACATTCTTAGAGAAGTGACTTCTCTGGCAATCCACCTTCAGGACTCCTCCTGTCTCTCAGGAACTATCTCTCAATAAATTTTTCCCACTCTTAATTTCTGTTGTTCCTTGAAATTCATTATTCAATTTCAGGGGACATGAATTCAGTGTATCTGACATCTAGCAGGTTGGGAGCTATATTTCTCCTATATCACTTGCCCGGGCGCCTTCCTACAACCCACACCCAATGGCAATTATAGCCTTTTATAGTACCACATCTTTTTTTTTCCTCAAGAAACATTCCCAGTTTCTGCTTTTGCCCTCTTTACCATCTTTAAACATTCGGACCCCTGAGCGGTTCTTCCCCTGCTTTGAATCAGCGAGGGACATTAGCATGGTTGCAGGGAGCAGGGTGATGAAAGGTCTGTCCAAAGACCAGGAGGAACGGCCCACATCAATTTGCAGGAAAGCACAGCCACAGTTACCTGGAAACAAAAGGTTGAGAGAAGGATAATGATAATGGGATGGTTGGAGACAAGGGAAGGAAGAAGGGATGGGAAGAGGATGGCCCTCCATTCTAGAATTAAATGGAAGCCAGAAAGGTCTTGAGATATGTGGAGTTGACCAGAGAACTAGGAACACATGGGAGGACACTCAGTCCACTATGAAAATGTGAAGATTCACCATGACCTTCTACTCTGAAACCTTCCTAACCAAAGAGACTCGCTGTCCTCTCAGAGCTCAGGCCCTGAAGGCAGTGCTCTCTTGCTAGAAGCCCAACATCTTTTTGTTCTGGGAAAGCTGAAACTAGTGGTCTTCAAAAGTTACACAGCCCAGAGACATGAATTAATTTCTCTTTTCTCTCTCTCTCTCTCTGTCTCTCTCTGTGTCTCTGTCTCTGTCTCTCTCTCTCTCCTTCCTTTCCTCTTCCGCTTCCTCTTCCTCTTCTTTTAACCCTAACCCTATCTATTCCAGAAAACTGTAAAGTCAACCATAAACCACATAATTCACTGTTTCTTTTCTCCCTCCCCCCCTCCAGTGTGTTCCTCTTTATTGATTTTCAGAGTACAAACTTTAACTTGGATAGGCTGAATTAACCCAGCCCACTTCTGGCAGGTACACTCAACATGTTGTATAAAGTATAACATTCAATTTATTATTTCTTTCTCAAGAGAGTTTTCTTCAGTCCATTAAGACCCAGCTCCCCTTACGTGGGCTTTGGTAGAGGTTGTGGGGCAGCACCAGCAGGTCTAAATCGGGGTGGAGGAGTTCGGTCCTTACGGGCTTCATGAGATCGATTTCTGACCACTTTGCTGTGAATGGCACAACTCACACAGTAATGCAGCTTCATATACAGCTTGGGAAGCACATAACCGTCAAAGAACTTGCTTTGGAAATGTCCCTGACGGCGGTGGCCTCCACTATGTTCCGAATGACAAACTTCTTTTTTTTTTTGTGGAACCGGGGATTGAACTCAGGCCCTTGCGCTTGCCAGGGAAGCGCTTATTCCACTGAGCCATCTCCCTGGCCCCGGCAAACTTCTTAATAGCCTCATCCTTGGGTATGTACCAGGCGCCGTTCGTGCATTGAATAGGCTGCACATGACCGCAGCCCTTTTTGGCACGACCATTGTTCCTTCTTTTTTTTGTCATCTTGGAAAGGAGGACCCGAAAGAGCGCTTCACTGTTTCAACATCCTCTTAACACTAATATATGAGAAGGTAGGAAGATTCTATTTGTTGGCATTTATAATTATGCCAATGTTCTAAGGCTTTACTCAGACCACATGGATCAAAGCAAAGCATGAACACTGCATAAGGAAGGAGCAACATTCATCATGGGAGTTCTCCAAACCCAAGCTGCCCTAAGGCAAAGGCCACTTCTCCCTCACACCCACGCAGGGCTCAGCCAGGATGGATTGGGACATCGGAGCAAAGCAGGTAGAAGGGAACATCAGTCCTGGGTCTTCGTTAGAGGCCCCAGAGAACTCACTCACCTATATCAATATAGCTAATGCGCACTGCCCTCTCCAGCTGGAGCTCCACTTTTAGTTGTCCACTCTTGTCCCGGGGGCAGCTGAGCCAAGGTCCCCTCTGACTGTCTGGAGTCAGCAAGTTCTCCACAGGATACTTGGGATCCTAAGCCAGAGAGAAAGAAAAAAAAAAAAAAAAAAATCAGGAAACTTATAGAGCACAGGTTAAAAAAAACCCTCCATGAATAAGGGATCTCTACTACAATCCCAAACCTTTTAAGGCAGCCTAGGATGACTGAATGACACAGATAGGAATCCACAGGAATTAGATGCCAAGTGTTTTGGTTTTTTTTTTTTTTTTTTTTTTTTTTT